AGGCCTCATCCCCGGGGCTCGGGCAGCCCCGAGGCCGCCCGGTGCCCTCCCTTCCATTGCCGGCAGGATGAGGCCTCCCTCACCCTGCTCCTGCGTGTGCCCGGCATCCAGCCCCAGAGCCTCAGCGGGGACGTGGGCACGAACCACTACGGCCTCCGCTTCTCCAGTGCCTCTGGCACCTTTGCCCTCTTCTTACAGTTTCCTCCCGCAAACAGGCTGGCGTCCCCCGAGAGCAGCGTTAGCGTGGCGGCCCACGGTGCTGCCATCGGGCTGGCCAAGGCCCCCGGCAGCACCGGGCTTTGGGAGAAGTTCTGCTTCGGCCTTGACGCCTCGGCTCTGCAGGTAACGGCTTCGCGCTGGCAGGGTTGGGGCGTCACGTCCCGCCGGGGGCCAGCGCTGCTCGGCGGCGGCGTGTGACCTCTGCTCGCATTCGTTTAGGAGCAGTGTCTCGGGGAGCTGTGAGGGTGTCGGGCTGAGTTCAGGAGAACCCGGGAGCGATGCAAACCGCTTCCCTCAGCTGTCACCAGATGTAAGGGCATCGACCTAACTAGAGCTAGGCTTGTGTGAGCAGCACGAAGGTCACTGCTGTCCGCGTCCTTGGAATTGAAATGACTTTTGCCTCCCGTGCCGATGCTTTTTTCTAAGGGAAATTCTGAGGAGTGAAAACAGAGCTGCCCTATGTCCTTAGCATTAGGCTGTGTAAATTGTTCATGCAGGCTCTTCACACCAAGAAGGGAGATGTCTGTAACACACCAGACGTATACACACGTGCATACAGTGTCACGAAACTCAGAGGTGTGAATGGTGTGTACCTGCGTCTGCGTTGGAGGACAAAACTGCTTACAGCCGCAGGAACACCCATTAGTTCAACCAGAGCGGTACAGCAAACAGCAGCTGTGAACTGCTGTCGATTGCCGCTTTGCTGGGCTAGCTCATCTTCTTTCCCATCTGAATATGATTCTAGTTGAGATGGTTTATTATTTCATGGGTCGCTCGGCAGCGATGCTGCCTGTGGCGGGAGGAGCTTGGCACATCTGTGTCTGGCCGACGGTGCCTGCTGAGAACAGGCAGTGTCCTCGCAAAGGGATGTTCACCTCATGGCCCTCTTGCTCTCAAAAACATGAGTTTTGTGGAGAACTACATTGTTCCGTAAACTCAGCCTTTCAAACAATTTATCACGAGCAGGGATTAAGACCGCACAGTTCTTGTGTAACCTCTCAGCCGTGTGATTCGGAGTTTGTCTTTAGTTTAGAATAAAATCCTTTGCACTTTGGGTCACGTACTGTGGAAGTGCAAGTCCAGAAAACTGTCAGGCTTAAACTAGAGCCACTGGGATGGCAGCTTGGAGTATCTTAATTGCTCCATCCCTACAAATGAGAAAATACTGAAAGATACTCATCCAGTTAGCACATGTGCAGCTGAATCTTCCCGTTTCATTTCCCAGTTAGCAGGCTGCACACCTTTTCTGTAACAGCAACTCCTTTGAAGGAGGAGCTGATCATTTTGGGTAAGTATCAAGGATGATGAATTTATTGAGAACCACCTACACTGAACTGGTTGCGGTGCATTTCCTTCGCTTTTAGCAGAGCAGGAGCCTGCAAGTCTGTGCAAGTGGGGCCCCAAAATGTTCGGCTCTGCTGTGAATTGGTGTGATCACGGTGCGATGCAATGTCAAATCAGCCATTGTGCAGACTGCTGTTTGTTTTCTGTAGAGGTACGGAAGGGATAGAGTAGGAACTACAGGCATTTTATCCTCTTTTTCATGAATATCTTTCATCACGTGCCATGGTGCGTGTCCGTGTGCTTCCTTTTTGTTCTATGGTGTGCAGGCCTAATACAGGTTTGAAGAGAAACCGCTTTGTGAGGTTATGGCTCAGAATTCAGTTTGGGAGCAGGAAATTCTGCTGCAGTTATCTCTTCAGTGCTGTGATTGATGGACATTTCTGCACGCTCTGAGCTCAGTCTAATGATTGAAAGTGTTTGGTATGTGCTTCCGTTATGATTGGGGGAACCTCTTTTGACTGTAAGTTGTTGAAAGGCCATCCACTAATGAGATTTTGGTCAATATTGTAGTTTTGTGAGTTAAAAAAAATCTTAGAATGTGCTGAGTTTATTATATATTGCAAAATGTTTTGGGTGGAGTAGGGGATGGAGGAGATAGGGCATTAGTCATAGGCCTCCCAGCCATTCATTCATGTAGCAGACTAAAAAAGATTGATTTCTTCTGGGATGCAGTCTTTTTGGACACCGGCCCTGCAAACTGAAGCAGCTGAAATGATCTGAAATCATTTGTTCTGTTTGCTGTTTCCCAAAAGTGCCTGTGCCAGCGCCGATAGCTGCATTCACTCGGAGTGAAGTGAGAAAAATTAATATTTAATTAGAGCTACTATTATATGTCATCTTCTGTCCATTAACTATTTGCCTGTGGTAGCTTCTCTGCTACTTATGTTGATTTCTCCAATTTGTCTGCTGTCATCTTTGGTGTTTTTCTGCTTTGAACCTCTTGCTATAAATCAGAGCTACGGTTCTTGCATTGAGATCTGCCAGGAGTTGCATCCGTCATCCAAGAGTGTTTTAGGAACGCACGCAGTGCTCTATTTAATCACTTCAGGGAGCTTTTGGTGGCCTAGGCGAGCAGGAATTTTACCCAGCACCTCTGAACCACGCTCTGCTGTCTGCTGGTTTGTAACCTCGTCCCACAGTAGCGTTGCCAGAGGATAGTGCACAGCGAAAGAAGAGGCCAGTGTTTTTTACAGATAAGAAATTCTTACTCCGCTGCCTTTTGGGAAGTTGCTTCTTGCTGGAAACCAAGAGTTTCTGTGTTGTTTCAGGAAACAGATTCCTCGCTGTTACTTCAGAAATCTGCTCAGCTCAGCGCTGGCTCATGGCACGGTGGCTGTTACGGTACCCTGTTAGGCTCCCATTAAATTCCCAAACAGCCAGGAAAATACGTTACGATAATTGTCCACCGTGTGAGCAGAATGCGTCTCATCAGCAGCCTCTTCCCCAGGCTGTGGTGGAGCTCAGCACGTGTCCCTCGATGCCGATTGTCCGTGCGCCCCTGCCCGGCTCCACTCGCCTGATAACAGGGCCAGTAATTGTGCAGCCCTGCCCTGTGTGCTTGAGGTGTTCCTGTTAGCACAGTGGCCTCTTTTCTTGTTGGAAATTGCTCTGATACAGGTGTTGATAAAAGAATGAGTTGAGCTTGTCCTTAGCACACCAGTCTTGAACCAGAATTTCAAGGACTGGCTTTCCTTTTGTAGTCAGATACGTTTGAATCCCTGTGCTGAAAGATGATATATTTAGAGCTCAGTTTCCATAGATGCTGAGCAGTCTGAATTCCCACCCCAGCAAGTGCTTATTTTCAGCAAGTCTTTACAAGGCAGCAGTCCTCCCTGGACTCTAACTGTGTCAGTGCAAGTGTTCCTTCATTTGATAGCTCTTGATGTTGCTTTGGTTTTACCGCTTTCCCATACAACAGAAAGTCAGCTCTCTGCTGATTCTGAGCTCTAACTTCTTATCAGCGGTTGCAGCTATTTGCTTCTCTTTTTCTGAGTAGCTTCGCTCCTTGGTTAAGCCACAGTGTCCACCCACTTGTCACGGTGAGCAGAAACCCTATAAAAATAAAGATTCCATAATGTTGGGCTCTGTGGACCAGGGTCACATATATCAGGGGTTTAAAAGTTATTTTTTTGTCACTGGCTTTGTGCTCATCGCTACTAGACACCACACAGCATTGATCTTTCTGCAGGGCTTGCTGCAGGCCCTGTTTTTTTCCAGGGAAATTGAGACTCATGGCCTGAGAATGCTGCCTGGCTTCCTCACTGCCAGAATCACCGTCTGGTCTTTGCCTCGAAGGACCAGCTGTGGGCTGTGCCCCCTCCACTGCTCTTTATTACAGTATATCCATCCACTAGTACCTCCTACATCCCTTGCTTCCATTTGATTAAATCCTGGGAGCTCAGGCCTGGGAAACTCCTACATCAGAGAGTTCCCCTTCATTTTAAGACAACAGAGCCTGGGGAGTAAATGTTGAAAAAAGACCAGTTGCGAGTTAAATAACCATTAATAAAATTTGTAAGCCTGCCAGGCAAGGTTTCCAAGAACCACATGACCCAGAATGTCCTGGTTTATGGCAGAGCTGGAGTTGGGAAATTACTGAAATTATGCCTTTGTAAAACACCGTCTTTTAATGTTTGGTTTCCTGGGGTTAAACACTCAATTCTTAACAAATAAAACCCATTTTCTGGTGGGTGTATCTGAACTATGGAGACTTGGAGGCTCAGTTACACTAGCATGTGAAACACGTTTAGTAGATAATTAATTCTGCCTGCAGTTTTTGGGTCATGTGTGCTCATTTTCATGTGATTAGAAAAAAAAAATTGGTTCAAGTAATAATTCCCTTTCATGCTGATCCACACCCTTCCTGCCCTTCTCAGTGGACTGAAATGAGTTTGTTCAGAGGATGCGTGCTCACTCTCCTGGTCGGCGCTTCCCTCGCTGGGGAGGGAATCGCTGCAGTCAGCCCATCCCTTCTGTAATAAAAGCTTATGTTCTGTTTTGGAGAATATTAAGATTTAACTCATGGAGAATATTAAGATTTAACTCATGTAAACCCCCCACGGGGCTCTAGAGAACAGCAGGGAGCAATGTTTCCTCTACTTTACTATGCATTGAGATGATGTTTTTTTAACATTTACAGCATGAAAACATTATACTAAACGTTCCTGGTTAGTTCATGGTTTGAACTGAGCGTGAGTTACATTGTTTGTGAGGATTACTTAACATAGGCATCTAAAAGGGAATTGCACAGCAACACGAAAGCTTTGTCTAACTTCTGTGTGAGCGTTGATGCCTTCGTGGAGAATGTTTTAGACGGGTGCGTTACTGAGCATAAAAAAAGAGGTGTGATTCTTCTGCTTGGCACAGCCACCAGTGCCTTGTGAAGGAGATGCTTTTGAAGCTCTCGTTGCTTTTTTTTCCTTCTGAAAGCAACCAGTAAATAACACTGAAGCCCTGTGACCTCGGCTCGCTGCACACACCTACTGTCGCGTGTTGTTTTCTAACCCCTGGACTTCTGCTTTGGCAACAGGTATGCTGCAGGGCAGCTCCTCCAGGACAAACACCCGCCATGACCTGTTTGCACAAAAAACACTGTGGGAACAATATTATTTGTAGGTGTCTTTACACCAGAGTGACTGTCAGTCTTTGTAATTAATCCTCTCGTTATCTCGGGGGACATGGTATTTGTCTTGTATGTGCTGTCAGGTCTGTGATGCCCAGGCTGATCCTGTGCTCTCCAGCTGCGCTGGACACGTGCCTGATGTGGGGCTGCCAAGAGC